CACTCCGGTCGAGCCGGCCCATTCGTGCCGAAGCATGGCTCTCCCACACTTAAAATAATACTTTAACCAGGTGGATCGTTATTAGATAATGATTTCTTACAGGTTATAAAAGAACACATGTCTGCCAAACTAACATTCGTAAAAACCTATTTCTATTTCCCAACGTGTTTAATGAACTCATTCTCCTAAAAGCAAGTAGCCAGCATTTAAATTGTGAAGCTTAAAATTGCGACCAATAAAAACTGCTCGCTCGACATAAACACACCATTACACACAATTAAATACTATTAAACTTCTTGCTTCGAAACGAAGTCTTCGTTAATCTACACTTGGAACATTAGTAACAAACATTTAACCACTGAATACCAAACTGTCCCTAATAACGGAACTTAATGAATCTCAGATTTATGCAACTGCTCTTTATTTTATAAAACAATTAACCCTGGTTGCGACTCCCATTAACATGAGATTTACATAGTTGAAGTCTTTAAGCATTTATGAGGAATAACTTGGCCTTATTTACCCGTTTCCCGGTCCCAACATATCATTGCGGCACATTAACTTCATTTACATAGATGTGAGTGTGGTTTAAAATTGCCATACTGCAAAATATAACAGGACAGTAAGAACGAAATAAATAAAAAACATTGATTCAGCACGATGGAGCATAAATAAAATGTAAAAAGACAATAAAATGTGACAGAGGAAGTAAGATAAACATTGAACAAAATTAAAACAGAAGCATCAGAAAAGAAACATTAACAACAAAATTGCACATCTCTGCATCACCCCATGGTTGACTGTTAGAGAATGCTACCGGCATTATGTCCGCCATCGTCATCACTACATGTTTTTTTTTTAATGGGGGAAAATCATCGAATGACTGCTCCCGCCTGGGTGAGGCGGGAGGGAGTGTCAGACTCTTACTGACTAAAAACCACCCCGTTCCTTCTCCTGCACATCGAGCCGGAGCCCCGGTTACCCGTTAGGTTCTCCGCGACTCCGAATCGGCATCGGCCCTATTGGGCCCCATCTGTGGTGGTCTGATGGCTCTTTGAGGCGCGCGCGGAACGCGACGCGCCGTACGCTCGGGTCTGTTTCTGGTCGGACGGGGAGCCACCCATGCTCGCCGTCCGTAGGCCCGCGCTTACGGTGGCCGGAGATCGTCTCGCGATCCCCGACGCCCGGTGTATCCTTCGCGATGGCTGGGTTGCGAGGAGGCAGCGCTTCGCTGCTTCACGCGTCCCGCCTCCTCCTTAGCTAGCATGACTGCTTCGCAAAAGGAGGAGACGACATCCCAGTCCCCCTCGCTCCGCATCATGGCCTGCACTAGGCCCGCACGCGAGAGGTCGCCATCGCCGATCACTTCCCTGAGGACACGGCGGTGCTCAGCCCACGCAGGGCATTCTCCCACCGTGTGTTCCACCGTGTCCTCAGGGCGGTCCTCGCACTGAAGACACCCGGGCGTTTCCTCCCGCCCCATCAGACACAGGTACCTCTATCGAATAGTAGCAACGTTTTATGGTTAGACAAAGACAAGCAAAAAGTACAGTTTTTATTATTCTAAGCGACTGTTAATTTTGGACATTGGACGATGATTATAATATTGTTTAAAAAAACTCTTTTTTCAGTCAGTTATGTAGGTCCGACGTGGTAAAAGAAATTCTAGTGACGTATCTACATTTAGCACAATTCCAATTACCATGTCACTTAATGACAATTGGATGCTTTCCTTAATCAAAGATAAATTATTTCGACTGTTCAAAACAATAAATTATTAAAAAAATATTACACTTTCATTAATTGATTTTATAGCTGACTTAATTTTAATATATTTCCATCAAATTTTTAAGAAATATGTATGCTGTTTGACTCTAAAAACACGTGACGACACAATTCACAATCTCGTATAAAATTAAATGAAAACTGTCGTTTTTAACAGTTCGAAAAATGTATTGAATTTAACTAGATGGTAAGTACCCAATTTCAAAATATTCCAAAATACAACACAATAATAGGTGGAGTTTCGGGGATAAAATGTGCAATTACAGTACTTAATGGCACAGTACCATGTAACACAAACTTTCAAAATACAAAATTCCTATATTACATACTTTACTACACTCGGAATACTTAACAGTTGCTGTTGCGACAAGGTCAACGATGCAGTTTTCCCATCAGCTTATGAAGCTACACTTAGACCATGCTTAATACCTACATGTGCTAATATCAGCCTAACCTATAACCTGGATGTTAGCAATCATGCTAGCGGCTATTGACCTGGATTGAATGCTTTGACAAATGCCAATCGGCTTAGAGTGATTCCATTCCATAATCATAATATTTGAACTGATTCCACGATAGTCTGAATGTCCAGCTGATGCACAACGTCTTGTAGATTCAAATCCTACAAGAAATTATTATTGTTAATCGACGTTAAAGAAGTGGGAAGTTTTTTGACCTGTATGTATGTATATAAATGTTTGTGTGCGATTACTTCGTGATTGGCTGAACCGATTTCGATGCGGTTTGCAGAAAAGTGTTTTATTGGTCTTAGGAATAGGTTTTAGTATCTGAATTCGAAACAAGAGGGGATTGAAGACGGATTGAATTATTATGGTGATCTACAGATTATAATTTCAGGTTTGAGTGCGATATAAATGTATAAGGTTAAGTTATATTAAGCCCAATTACCCTTCCCCCTTCCCAGTCTCCCCAATCCCTGAATCTCCAACAATCCCCAAATTCTTAATCCCCAAAAGGCCGGTAACTTCCTTGTAACGCCACTGGTGTGTCGGGAGGCCATGGGCGGCACCGATTGCTACCCATTAGGTGATGCAACTGCTCGTTCGCCGGCTGATGCCATAAAAGAAATATTGGAGTAGGCCCAATAAAAGGATCAAAACCACTGTTTTTTCTGACTTCATTGTATACTATTTTTGGAAACAAATATACTGTAGCACACTTTATGATTACGAATATAAAACGATACAAATACTGAAGTCTAGACACTAGACTATTCTCGGCGATCAAAGGGAAAAATAAAATGAAATAACTTAGATAACATTTGAGACTATATTAGATCCATTTCAGGTATGTTTTCTGAGTACAACAATACTATCAGTCTTTATGAATCATATATCCACTTCAACCTATATTTATAGAAAAAATGAGCAACATCGATCATCGCGTTAGCTCACTACGTGTTGCCCATTTAGAACCTTTATAACTAGGATTTCTTGTGATGTTTCCTTCCACCCTAATGTTCCAAAAGTATTTAGATAGTTTTAACAATTTCTTTTGTTCCAAGGCCAAGTGTTGTAAGTTTTTGGTACACGTGTTTTATTGCAGTTTCTTTGAGGATTATAGTGGTTGGTAAGCCGATTCCGGGGCTCTGGCTCGACGTGCAGTAGAAGGAACGGGGTGGTTTTTAGTCAGTAAGAGTCTGACACTCCCTCCCGCCTCACCCAGGCGGGAGATGACATTCGATAATTTTCCCCTCTTAAAAAAAATAGTGGAATAGACTATACTAGAATAGACTTCGTTCGCGTAGAATAGTGATTTAGTGCGCGTACCCCGTAGGTGATAATATGTAGCCTATATCTTGACCTGTTAGTAATAATCATACAAAATTTGAAGTAAATCCATGCAGTACTTTTTGAGATCATCCCGGACATACATACAGACAATCAGACCAAAATTCTAAAAACCATATATTTTTGGCTTCTGTACCTATCGACTATATAGAACACGCCCCAAGTATTCTTTTAAAAAAATATTTAATGTACTTTTTTGACTTTTCTACGATTTTATTATATGTATAAAGAAGATAGATTAACGGCGGAGAAATCAAAATGAACGAATGATTTAACCTAGATCGGGCGGTCCACTGTCAAATAATGGAATTTTCCGAATCACTGTCAATATACCTTTATTGACATTTTAATTTTCGTATATTCTTAAGCACTGTTTTGTATCTTTATTGAAGTTTATTGTAATAGGAAACCCCGCAACTGTTGGTTTAATGTTCAGTTTTTGTAAACGTTTATTTCAATAAATTATTCTTATTCATATTTATTTATTGAATTATCATTTATGTACACACATACAACACAAAGGACAACACATATAAAAACGAGGTACGTAGGTCCCACATATTCCAACTGGAATTCTTCCTGTGAGCCTGTGGCAGGAAAAGAAATAACGACATCGAGGCACAGCGTGTTACACAAATAGGACAAAAAAAAATAAATAAAAACAAACAAATTAAAAGAAGTCCTAAATATTGATAAATAAAATTTTTGATTAAAATACTTCAATACCCACACTAGAATTTGTAAAAAAGTATTACTCGCTAAAGTATAAGTAGCGTCACATATACCTTTGACCAATATTTTTGACCTTTTTGTCAATTTGACCGTCATACCATTCAGAGCTCTGATTATTGTAACTTTGTACTACCTAACCTACTTTGACTTAAACTGTTTTTCTGGACGAGGAATCCTTAGTGGATCACCAGTTCCACAAAGAATGTGGCATCTACGTAAATGACGTCACCGTTTTAGTACCATCCTCGACCTCCTACGACATACTTATAACACTTTCGCCTAATGCTACTGCTGTTTTATTGGAATTAACATGTGAAGTGTCGAAACGCAATTCTACGCGAGGCACAACGTGTTTTCTTTTGTGACTCATATATCGACAGACAAGAGGTTAATGAGGAAAAATATGTTATCATACTAAGCAAAGTTTCGCACTACTTTTTTTATGGGATAAGCCGGTAAACTGGGAGACGTATCACCTGATGGTAAGCAATAGGCGTAGCCCATGGACACCCAAAAAACCAGAGGCGTTACAAGTAAACTACTATTGCAAATTCAGGTTATCCACATTACCTACTGCGATCCTGGTACCTGGTATTTTGGTCTACATGTATCATTTACTATACTAGTAATATAGAATATTTATATTCTCAATATTAATTTCCTTTGTTACAGATCCAGAACTTCGCATGAGATTCCCAAAATCTCTGTCGTCCAAAAACAGTGCAATATGTTGTTCAAAACAGGACTGACAAGAGTTGCTTCTCATGTGCGGAACTGACAGTGTTTACCAAAATATGGAGAGAAGAGCAGGACTCGTGGTTGTGTTATGGGTGGCCATATTCCCTCTCTACAGAGCTGATAATCTTGGTAAGTTGCTCTCTGATTTCTATACTTTTATTATGATATTGTCTGTTACAACTCATTATTATATTATGTACGTTATTATTAGTAACTAGCAGCGCGTCCCGGCTTCGCACGGGGTAGACAATTATTTATTTTTGGAAATTTGGATTGTTGTAGTGACATAACTACAATAGTTGGACATATGCTGCTTCGGAGTTTTTTGTAGACATTATGATGTTCTTCAATATTGTTGTACATTAGTTTGTTCTATCGCTAATAGTTTCGGCAGCGCATTCGACGAAAGACATTTTAAGACTCATTTTTCTACACCTTAGATTACATTGTTCAAATTTTACCAAAGATCCCTAATTTTTTTCAAAATTAAACTGTCAAACACCAAGCGGTCACCGGTAACCGCAACCTACTGTTCTATAATTGTGTCTATAATAACGGTACTCGACGAGTTAAATGTAGCCTATGTCAAATTGGAAGAATGTAGCATTATATTGGTGAAAGAATTTTTTAAATCGGCCCAATACTTTTTGAGCCTATTCATTACAAACATTCAAACATACAAAAATAGGTACAAATCTTTCCTCTTTATAATATTAGTGTAGACTAACCTTGATAAAATCTGCAACTCGGAATTCTGAGTAATGTAGCTCTTATGTCTATCTATTCTTATGGAACCATCAGAAACTGCAACCTTAACATAAAGTTTTTAGTTCATATTTTCTTTGATGAAGAGTCATTCACATCTACAGCCTATAAGTGGCCACTCCTGACCAAAGGCCTATTCTCGAAGAAGGTCATTAATCACAACGCTTGCTCAATGCGGGTTGGCAATTTCAAACTTACAATAAGAAGTCAAGTCCTGGTTTCCAGGTGTCCAAATAATCTTAGAAAGTACTTATAACTCGGAAAATGTTATATTGGTACTTGCTGTTAGTAGTTCGAACCCACACTCTCATGCATGAGAAGCGGGCTTCACAGGGTGCGTCCACATCTGGCAAATCCGCCGCTCGCGAGCCGTTTGCGGGCTACCCACAAACTGCGCGCGTGCCGTCACAGCAATTGGTGCTCAACTCATACAAGGGTCGTATAAATAGTAATTTTAAATAGTTCGCGAGCAGCTCACGAGCTGCGCATTCGCGGAACATTCGCTAGATGTGGACGCACCCTCAAGCCTCCCGGCCACCACGACATTTATTAGTTAGGAAAGTCGTTCAACAAAGTTAAATATAACTCGAGCGCTGCATTTCTCTTTACGACTTCCTTTAATATAAATATTGCATCAATTTCGTTCCAACTATATTGCATTCCGATATGTAGCCAAGAACGCTATTGAAACTTTGAAAATAAAGAGCAAACAATGAAAGGTTCAGTCGTGAACCTTTTCATTTAATTTTACTTTCTACACGGAGTACCGAATTTCTATAATAGTGTTCAAATATAATAGCCCAAAGGTTTTCTGCAGTCCTCGGTCACATTATTAAACACACCCTCATTTTGTTCAATAATTAATTATTAAGATGCGGTCATAATTCAATCGTTTTACATCTAAACATAATTATTACGATCTTAGTCAACTGTTGAGACTATTCGACTATTTCTATTTCGACTATTTGACATTAAATTTGTTAAGTTCAATACCTAACCTTGTGATGACATCTCCAACAGTGAGTTCATGCGTTATATGCTCATTAAGTTGTGGTTGGCACTAAGTCAACTAGGTTTCTCCAAATCTGTCTATGTTTACTCACGTTAAGTCTATCGTAGATATGAACTTGGATACAACTCCAAATTCAAAAATTCTAGATTAAGGTCATTTAAAATTTCTAATACATAGTTTACGGATCACTTGATGGTAAGCAATATGCGTCGCCCATGGACACCTGGAACACCAGAGGCAATGTCTCTGGTGTTCAAGTATGGTACCGGCCTTTTGGGATTATGAATTTGAGAATTGCTAGGGATTCAGGGATTGGGGAAAAGTGGAGGGGAGGGGAATAATTGGGCCTCCGGTAACCTCACTCACACGACGAAAAACAACGCAAGCATTGTTTCACGTTGGTGTTCTGTGAGGCCGTGGTATCACAAATGTATAAGTACTGAGTACAAAATCAACTTTACCTATTGCCGTCAAGGTGGATATTATAAAATAAACTAGTAATGTTTATGAGGTCTATAGTCCGGGAGTTGACAGAATAAGCTGTGGCGGGCATAATGATGATGACCTGATAAGTCAATACTGATTCAGACATTGAGTGTAGACTTTATTCGCTAGTGGCGCCTCTTGCAGGGAACTAAATCAAGTTAGCTAAGAATGATGTTGCCAATTTATCTAATAATAGTAAATTAAATATGTGACTTCGTTCCGAAACGGTTTGGGTATTAACCTTATAATAGATTGCTTTGTCTTCTCTAACTCCCACGACATCTCTGAATATTTCTTTGTTTTCGTACTAAATACCTCTATAACTAAGGTCTTATTATTGGCATTTTCAAGAACTTAATATATAAAGATTTATTATACTCGTTTATTTAAAGTTAGCTATTTGACTTAGGAATTTAATTTAGAATTGTATTTTATCTCTTCACCAAGATCGAGATATTACTATAATATTCCAAGTTATTTAAAATCATCATTCATATTAATTAATTTTATAATGAGAGTGATTTTCAAATGTATTAAATATTTTCGCTCATTCATTGCTCGATTTTAATTGCAAATATTTTAGGTCTAGGTACTCTATAGTTTATTAATATTTAACCTTTAGATTTAGGATTAATTGTATTGTTATCAAAACTATTTAATCCTACGTTATTCATAAATACTATGACGTCTTTCACCCATACTTACACCCACACCTATATCTGAAAAGAATAGTTCCCTCATTCTAAATAAACACAAACTTTGCTTTAGAATAAATATTGAGTAGGTATAATCTACTAACTGTGTGTGTAAACTATGTATTTATCTTCTTCAAGTTCTCTCTTAAGCTCTTTGTTAAAAGAAAACATTATCTTATTTTTATTGCCGTGGGTATTTCTATGAATACTAGAACTCGGTTTAAAGTTTGCTGTTTGTATTATTTTTTTTATCATTATAATAAAATAAAATGGTATTATCGAATACGTTTGTTAAACTGATTGTATTGATGTAATTTTTCCGTAAAATACTAAATGAGCCCAGTGCTGATAGTGCGATAATGTTATTCAACTTTATGGCTCTGATTCAGTGACCCCTGATTGATTTATACACTTATTAGGATACGATGGGACTGACATACGCCGTGAGGTATAAAATTCCCTAAAATGAAAAGGAAAATAAAAAAAACATAATGAAAATTTGTGCTCTTAAGATTTCGTTTCATACTTTCAATCATGATAATAATTATGGACGCCGAACAGAAAATATTGGTTATCTGTCTGATAGCGTCTAAACAGACGGCCATAAATTAGAAAAAAAATAAAACTAAAAATAAAACTTTTTCCAATTAAAATATTTATAAACCCATCTGTCACGTTCTTAATTAATAACAGCACCGGAATATTGATGGCTTAAGCCCTATTTTTGAAACCTAAAATAATGTTTTTGTTAGAAACTGTAGAATCGTGTTGGTTTAGGATCCTTCTTGAGGTAACGCGTATGAGAATATAATTTGGATGGTAATTTCTCCATGAAGGTTACACCTGTTTTGAATATGAAACTTCTTTTTTATCTTACAATTGTTTTTATAGGTACTCTTTGTATTTTAAGTAACTATTAATCTATATATATAAAAGAAAGTCGTGTTAGTTACACTATTTATAACTCAAGAACGCCTCAATCGATTTAGACGAAAATTAACAGGGAGGTAGCTTAGAACCAGGAGACGGACATAGGATACTTTTTATAGAATACTTTTTTTTACTTTTACCGAAAATCACGAACGGGAACGGGGTAAAATGGGATTGCGCGTACGAAGTCGCGGGCAGAAGCTAGTCTACATATATAAATGAAACCCGTTTCCCGTTGTCACTCCATAACTTGAGAATGGCTGGACCGGTTTGGCTGATTTTTGTTGTTGTGTTTGTTATTGTTAGGAAAAGGTTCTTATGATAAAAAAAATCTTGAAAATCTTATGGGAACGGGAGAAAAAGGGATTGCGCGAACGAAGTCGCGGGCAGAAGCTAGTGCGTGTTAAAATATTAGATAATATTTTTAAAATGTGCAATTATTAGGTAGATATACTTTATTAACTAAAATCGCGGGTTACTCACGTGAATATAAATATTTATTATAAAAGGATATACTTTGGTTATAATTTTTGATATAAATGATATTCTTTGCCTTACATTATGTGACGTCATTACAGCATCCAATCCACTTGAAAGTCTTTAAATTTATATTTAAGTAGATTATAGATACAATATGAAATATAATCTGTTTATAATCGGCTTTCATTGTTGTTGAGCAAAAAATAATAAGGATCCAAGCATCTATCGATTTGTTTGCAAATGAAAAATGTATGCCGAACTTTTTATTTAATTAATATCAAACTTTATTCGTCGAACCCTTTCTAACTTTAAATATTTTATAACGAAATATCTTTCGGATCGACCCTTTATTTTTCATTGGTTTTGTGCCCAAATATTTTAAACCCTCCTAAAGTTTTAACAAACAAATCAGACTTTCAGAATATTTTCCTAGAAGTTTTATTAAACCTGGATTCATATGTTGGAATACATTTTAATACGTACAAAACAGTAAGTATAGGGAAAGGTTCATAGGATTAGAATTTCCAGTATAAATTAGTGTCTCATTCTGTCTAAAATGTACTTAGAAATAGGTCTACTTTTTCTGGAAATTTAGTTCGATGTGTGGGTGTAGGTATCCTTTATATTAGAAACGATTTGTTTTATGTTTACTTTTAAGCTCTAGTTCAAAGTTCTTTACTTTAGTCTTTGTTTGTTAACCGTTTTATTTTCAATACTGAAATACTAAAATTATTAATTATTTTTCTGATTTATTTTAAAAT